GGTGAGGTCGTGGATGGTGGACTCGAGCTGGGCGATTTTCTGGCGCGCGAGGGCGAGGTCTGCGTCTGCGGGGGGCGGGGGGGCCGCGAGGCCGCACCCGGGGCAGCAGGTTGTTGTTGGTGGCGGCGCGGCGGGCGTGCTGGCTGTGGCCGGCATGATGGGGGCTTTTTGGTGTTGAGGTTGTCGTCGGTGGTGGGAGAGACGAGTCGGCTGGTTTTATGGCTGGGGAAAACCGAGGATGAAGGGAGTTGACGTGCTGGTAATGGGGAGAAGGGGGAGAAGAAAAAGTTGTGTCGCAACGCCAAGGATGCTCGCGTCTTCATTCCTCGGCGGGATGGGCGCAGTGCCTGTTGGTTGTGTTTTTTTTTTTTTTTGCTGTTTGTTCAATGTCCGACGTGCGTTGTGAACTTGAGAGTTTTGTCCCAGGTGAAGCGGGGCGTGCAGACGGCACCTGGGACGGCACAACGGGCTGGACCGTGTGGGCAGTGGACCGTGGACAGTGGAGTCTGGCTTGACAGGTTGACAGGCAACGTTCCGTGGTTCAACAATGTTTAATTTTTGACGGCTCGGAAATGATGACTTGAGCGGATTTTGCCATGGGGCCGCGACTTCTTGGAGGGATGTATGCTGGGATGGGCGTAAATTGTCCAGCCAGGCTTCTTTTGCTAGTCGACAGTGGTCTTCTTCGCGCATTCACGCGCGCGGCCGAGGCCCGTGAACAGCATCTGCCGGACATTGCGATGTGCAAGGGGCTGATGAGGCTGCCCACTTTGTGCTGATCTACCCTGTAGCTCTTTGACGTCAACTGTTCTCGTTGTCTTGAAGAAACCTTGTGAAGCTACGTTCTGCTCTACAACTTGAGATCAATTGATGGCATCAAGTTCAACGCTACAATGCATCATGAACCGTCACCAGCATGTAGCTCTTTCCGGGAGCTTTTACCACAGCACTTGTCACGTCAACAAAAGTTGGCCGTCTTTCATTAGTCGAGTATCGTTACGGTCATCAAGGTCCTCATACACGCCGTGGAAAATCACGACAAGGCAAGTTGCCAACCCCGTTGCTCAACAACATCCCTCCAATCCACCTTGTCCCGCCTCATGCCCCTTGTCCACTCCTCCCTCTGCTGCCAAACTTGTTCCAAAACCTCCCGGCAAGCATCTACATTACGGAACCGCCTCCATTTGTTCATGGTATACAGCCTGCTCCTAATGCGCTCCATGTGAGTGGCCTCTTCTGCCTCGCCGCCCGCCATGAAAAGAGGGAACAACAACGAGCACTCGGCCAACGAGCCCGCCGGCACCTTTTCGGCAATCTCGCACACTGAGTCGACGTATACCCGGATTCCCTCGGGCAATACGTCCGCCGCATGCTGCGGGAGGTACTTGCGCACCACACGATCAAGGTATATCAGCCCTGCGCTTCGATACGTCTCGCTGAGGGACGTAAGCGGCGTGTCGGTCGAGGGGGCCGGACACTGCCATTCTCGAAGGTCGCTGGCGATGCCGAGGGCACGCTGCAGCAGTGCGTCGTAGTTGGAATCCAAGGCGAGTCCAGACGTATTCGAGCCACCGCCCCCAAGCGACGCATTGTAGCATTCCGCACAATCTGCCCTCAAAACACTGATTTCAGACGTCAACAGCATGATCCTCGACGCAAAGGCAAAGTACGGATCTGCCATGGCATCGTCCGCCGACATCCAGTAATCACCAGTCATCAAGGGCCGCCTGTCCAGCGACACGCTCATGAGGATATCGTGATAGGCGAAATTCCTCACCAGCCACTTGCCCTCCACCGACCTCAACCAGTCCCCGCCCAAGACAGACGCCGATGTTCTCAGCGGACCGAGTTGCGTGTCCGAGCTCCCGGGCTGCAGTGCGGCGGCGGCCCCGGACAGGTGGTGCGCCCAGCTGCTACTGGTTGCGTCCGAGATGGTCTCCATGGAGCACATGGCCATGGCCACGGCCAGGCACATTTCCCCCGACAGGCTGCCATCTCTCAGGGCGGCGCCCAGGTTCGCAAGCACCCGCCCGCGATGCAGCAGCGAGGTGTCGCGGAAACTGGGCTCGCGGAGGGCGAGGTGGGAGGATGCCCATGCCGCCATGGCATCCAGGAGGGTAGGGCAGTCGAATGCCATTGGCAACAGAACTGGACGATGCGCGTGTCAACCAACGAGTCATGGCACAAAAGCCCGGCATCGAACGAACCTGACAGGAAGCAGTTGTTTTCAGCAGTGGCAGACAGCATGACGGCCAGAGTGGACGTGTAGTAGCGCATCATGGTCCTCCGGCTGGCGCTCAAGTCGCGACGACCCACGGCGTCGTCGGGACGCACGAGATCCAGCGGCTCGGGGATACTCGCCAGGCTCAGGACTTCGGACACATGGTCGCTGTGCGAGGAGCAGCAGGGGCTGCCGGAGCCGCGGCGCGGATGGGCGGGCGGTGGTCTCGCGTCTTGCACGGCATCCTCGCCCCAGGAACTCGATAGTTGTCGGGGCTTTTCGCGCGCGCAGACGAGGTTGAGCCGCGAGCAGTGCCCGCAGACGGGCTGGCCCTGGTCGCACTTCTTCTTGCGCTGGCGACAAGTCAGACACCCGCGGCGCTGTCTCGTGTAGCCGCCCTTTTTGGATGTCTTGCGCTGTGTAACGTGTTGGACCGGCGGCACGGGAGCGGGTGCTGCTTCTGGCGAGACGCACAGCGCCGACATGTTGGCCGGGTCAGGCGGGCAGCGTCAATGGCGGCAAACGTGGGAGCGATTCAGTAAGTTGGGTTTTTATGGCGGTAGGCAACGAGAGTCTGGGGGGGGAAGGTGACGAGGGCAGAGCTCACGAGCAACGGCCCGAGATGAGGTTTATGCACGGCGTCAATGGCGGCAAGAGGCTGGTTATCGAGGCATGGCATTGGAGTGACGATACGGATTGGGCGTCTATTGGCTGGCGAGTTATTAGAATATGTGGGACCGCGGGGAAGAACCACGGCTCGGGGTTGGGGACGAGGGTGGGGAGTGTGGGGACAGTATAAAGCACGTGGAATTGATAGATGGAATTTATGCTGTTTTATAAAATGAGGCCATGTGTCTTGGGTACTTTATAGGTAGTGTTTATATACTCCTGTACTACGTATTATAGGCTTATAAAAGTCTCTTGCGAGTCTAGTCGTGCCTGATATAGCTTTAATAATTACGTTTCCGTGGTATATATATAGATACTAATTTATTAATCTCCAAATTAAAATAAATTATTTTACACATCAAAGTATAGAATAAAATAAACGCTAAAATATAATATTTCTAGATATCTTGGTCGTTCGTAACACTATTACTACAAATCTACAAACTGATATATTTTATAATTTGTACTATCTAATTATATATACTATTTTATAATAAAGACCGCGGACTTACACATTATCTGCCTACTCTCCGCTTCGCCCTCGTAAAAGCCCCCCCGTGTACCGGCAAACGTCTTGTGCAGCGTCAACGCCCGCGCGGCCGCCGTGACGACCTGGAGGCCGAAAACGACCGGCTTGTCTTCCGAACACGAGGCTGAACCGCTTCTTGAGGTGCCCACCCACGTCGGGGTTGGGCGTTTTCTGCCATGATGACATGTGCTTTTTCTTCTTTGTGCTCCATGGGTATGTGTGTCTGGGGAAGAATCAAGGGTCGGGCCGTCATGGGACGGTTGCACCAGTCACCACCGTCTTGGAGTTCCATGCGGAAACGAGAGGCGCGAACCATGCTATTTAACTGCTTGCGGGGAACAGGAGTCTGGGGTTATGACAAGCTGGGTGGAATCCACATCAGTTTTCGCGATATATCGGCGAAAAAAAAAAAAAAAAACAATCAAGATACACATGGGAGGCGTGGCCTGTGCGTGGCTGCCGTATCGGGACGTCGGTGGTTGCCGGCCGCCTCCGCTGATCTCGGCCACCGTCGGCGTTGTGCATTCCCGCCGTTGACGCCGGGAGTGGAGAATGTGGGGACATGCAACGCCAGAGTCCGGGGCGCGTGCCTTGTAGGCAGGTATATAAAGGGAGCCAACGGCAAACAAGGAAGAAGCGGCTTAAGATGGACGATTCCCCGTCTCCTATTTCCCTTGCAAGCGTAGACAAGCGACGGTGAGCGAGCACCCTCTGGAACAATGAAGCCCGCGTCATGGCTTTCCCTCCTGGCCCTCGCCGGCTCCGCGGCACACGCCTGCGGCGGCCACGACGACGACGACGACGACGGCAAGGAATGGACCAAGGAGGAGCTGGCTGAGCTCCAGGCGAAATGGGGCCACGAGGCACGAAGCCTGGACAAGAACAAGACGGGTGAAAAACTTGCTAACGCGCCGTCTAGTGGTCGTTCAGCGGCATCGGGTCGTTTGCCCACCTCGACTACGTCAAGTGCCTCACGAGCCCGCAGGAAAAGTACGACATTGCCATCATCGGCGCGCCCTTTGACACGGCCGTCTCCTTTCGCCCAGGCGCCCGGTTTGGTCCCCGGGCCATCCGGCAGGCCTCGTCGCGGCAGACGTCGCTGCGCGCATTCAACCCGCGCGCCAACGTCAACCCGTACCAGAACTGGGCCAGGATCATCGACTGCGGCGACATCCCCATCACGCCGCTGGACAATGCCATTGCGGCGGAGCAAATGACGCAGGCGTTTCGGCGGCTGGGCAGGGCGCGGCCGGCGAGCGCCCTGAGCGCCGGCAAGCCCAAGCTCGTCACGCTCGGGGGCGACCACAGCCTCGCGCTGCCGGCGCTGAGGGCCCTGAGGGAGATTTACGGCAGGCCCATCCGCGTGCTTCACTTTGACGCGCACCTGGACACGTGGGATCCGGCCGCCTACCCGTCGGCATGGGGCTCGACGCACTTCACGCACGGCTCCATGTTCTGGATGGCCAACGCCGAGGGTTTGCTGTCCAACGCGTCGGCCGGGCCGTCTGTCCACGCGGGCCTGCGGACGCGGCTGACGGGCACCGACTGGGCGGACCACGAGGCCGACACGGCGCAGAACTGGGTGCGCTTCGCGGCCGACGACATTGACGAGGTGGGCACGCAGGGCATCGTCGACGGCATCATGGCCGTGCTGGGCACCGACGACCCCGTGTACCTGTCGGTGGACATTGACGTGCTGGACCCGGCGTTTGCCCCGGGCACGGGGACCCCGGAGCCGGGCGGCTGGACGACGAGGGAGCTCATCCGGATCCTGCGGGGCGTCGAGGGCCTGAATCTCGTGGGCGCCGACGTCGTCGAGGTGAGTCCCGCGTATCAGGGGCGCGGGGAGGAGACGGCGCTGGCGGCGGCGCAGGTCGTGTACGAGATTCTGAGCTCCATGGTGAAGAGGGGGTTGGAGGATGGCGTCGGGGAGACGGGGTCCGGCGGCAAGGATGAGCTGTGAGATGTCGTGACTCGTGGTGGCTGTAGCTTATGCTCTGATTCTAGCCAAAAGGCAGTGTCGCACAACGAATCTGTGCATCGTCCAATCCGTACGCGGCACTGTCAAGGTGCATGCTGCGTGTCTCGGATATCAATGATCACTTTCCCATTAGCCCGTCGGGTGTGCGACCCTTCGTTTGTGTTACCTATATACGAGCAGACCGCAAATTACTTGCTTCACTTAATCTTTACGCTCTGTCACTTGCACTCTACCTCATATGGACTTGTAGGTTGTTGCGAGCTGTATAAATTACGAGTAGCCAATGGAAAGCCGACTGGGCAACTGCCGCAAGGTTCTAGTCAAGTCAAGGCAGGAGACCAAGGTGACGAGTCATGACAAGACCTGGCAATACGTGAGCTATCGTGCGGCTGTATTCTCATTTCTGTATTTCATGTCTCCATGCCAAAAACGACCCTCGCTAGAAAGAGACATGTCACATTCTTGACAGCTATAAGCTATACCGATCAACTGCCAACAGCGGGCCAGTTCAGAAGTGATTGTTGTTGCGGATGAGGGAGGAGTCAGGGCACTGCATGTCGATCTTAATACTCTGGGGTCTCTTTGAAGCCGAGACGGGTCTTTCGGACGTGACAAGAGGCAACTGTGCACAGTCATGACATATCATTGACTGTCCAAGGTGACTTGTCACATAGAGCGAGAGCTGGTCGCCGTAGACTACTACATCTTCATCGACGATCAGCCGCGCGACGTGACTCGGGCATCTTGAGATCAAATCAGAAATGCATTTACCTCAGACTGCAATGACTCGTCTACGTCTGTATGATTGTATGCTTCTCTTACACAGTTCTTTGGTCACAAGTCCATGATGTATTTTCAGGCCAATGGCAAAAAATGCCTCATAGGTTTCTGTCTGCCTGTCTCGAGTAGATTCAATAGCGACATGGCAAGGATGACTTGTCCATTTGCTGACGGCATCAAAGAACAAAAAAAAAAAAAGATATAAAGGGGGAACCTCCCCCCATTCTATGACTGTTTTGTAGCTCAGACGCATATCCAAGTTTACAAGACCGCCTAAGATTCTAAATATTCGTTCACCACCAAGTTATCACGCTCTTGCTACCATCACCATGACCACTACACTCTACATCCAGGAAAGTTCAGCAGATCTGAAATGGCTTACCCATAACAACTACAGCCTCCAGGTCGCAAAATCTGTATCTTCTCCCGGTGCTCACAGCAAGCCCACGTTCAACGTGGTTTACCAGTCGCAGAAGCTTGCCCCATCCATGAATGTTTCGTGGACTCCGCAGTATGGTCTCAACTGGACCACACAGATGCCAGCTAGTGGCGCCCAAGTCGTCTACTCGGGAAATTGGCAACCCTGTGATCTTGGTCAATCCTATAATTTGACGAGCGATGGTGAATGGATCATCAACAACGACGACCCCAACAAGGACTCCATGTCTGTGAATGTGGGCTTGAACGGCTACCCCGGGCCGGTGAATATCATTGTGGGAATTCTTGATCCAAACACTAATATATGGCAAGCGGTACGCCACCTCATTTCCCATCTGGACCGGGCAATACCGCCACGGAGCTTTTCCTAACTGCCATCTACACAGATCTTTGTCAGCCCGGACCAGCTGTCGCCACGGGGCTTCGGGCAATATCAGCCCAGAGACGACGTGGAGATGTGGTACGAGGAGGGGATGCGGACGGAAACCATTATTCTGAACCAGGATACCGCCATCGAGAACTTCAGCATGACGGGCAAAGCTCTGCAGTATTTCTGGTACAGCACTAACTCGGGAAAATGGGAGAACTCGCCGGACCCATTTCCATTTAACTCGTCGAAGTAGATGCCCAGGGTCTGATTCGGGCCCTGCGGCTTGCTGTATTCGTGAGCCCGGGTTTTGTTGCGGCGGGTCGGAGTCCCTCGTTTCCTGTTTCAACAGACTGCCTGCCACGTCACTCGTTTGTTTGTACCGGGCATATTTTCTCTTCATTTCAAGAATCACTCCTTATTATAACATAGCTAGCACCACGTTGGCGAGCCACTCACTCAACATGGTTTAGTTAGTATATTGAATAAATTGACCATGGTCACTAAATTCGCGTCTACATGGCCTTGTATGCCCGCCCATGTATTGGGAGCTACCCTGTCAATGGCGGACGGGCATCATGGGAAACCGCCCGTCTTTGAATTTTTGATGACGTGTTGGAAGCAGTTGTGATAAGAATAGACCTGCCAAAATTTTGTATTTGTAGTCGTCAAAGTCATGTCACAGGACTTTGCTCCCGCTTGAAAACCACTTGTCCAAACTCCATCAAGAAGGCTGTCTCGAGGGAACATTACTTTGAATTTGCTGCGGGACGTGTCCCAACAACCAAGTCTATATATCTAGGTCAAGCTGCGTACCTAATCCCTAACCCCTTTTGTCCGTTAGTTTATCCAATATACATACATGACCAGGAAATAAACTTGCGAGATAAAGGATATCGTAGAATCACCGCAGCCCGAACTAGGCCACGCAGACCTGCTTCCCATTGGCACGACGCTTGGGTGCTCGATCAACCTGGCTCAGCAAGGTGTGTATTCCAAGTTATAGAGGACTCTTTGTATTAGCATCTTTATCATATAACTATAAGTCGTCCTTTAAATCAAACAGTTATGTGGAAACTACAGCTTTAACCAGAAGGTGTACTCGGCGCAACTGGCAAATCCGGACCGGTTTTGTGACAAGGGCAGATACCTGGGCTTGGAACGTGTGTTAAATATCAATTCAATAATCGACTTTGAGGCATCAAAGGTCCTTCGTTTTCTAACAGGCCTTGAGGGGTCGAGGGCCTCTATATATGCAAGAACTCGGTGAGGGCTAGTGCCTAAGGCAGCCCTCGCGTATGGTCCGGCTCCGGCCCCTCGTGATACCTTTCTTTGTTGTTGTGTAACCTTTGATGTCTGATACCTTTGTCCAGGCCCCTTTGCCGTGTGACATGTTTATTATATCCAACATGGTTGACGAGGCCAAGTTGCTCTAGCTGTGGCGTTAAGACCAAACAAGGCCCTGCCACGATCAAGTCTCTTCGTTATACAGGACATCAAGAGTCTCTGGTTTTGTCCAAACTGGCCGAAACAGTCGTGCTGTGTGACAAGGTCCATGAATGCCAACGTACTGGTGCATACGACAACTGACTAGTTGCAGTGTGAATCTTTACTTTTTATCTGCAGCATTCATGTTCCCGACTGCCGTGGCCCCCGCCTTGGTGAGGCTCGGTTTACTGGCCTGCGCAACTTTCCAAGTCACTAGGCGCACGGGAACAGACAAGCTGGGTCCATTTCATGGCTAGATAACCAGTCGAGTTTCGAACCGTTTTCGTCATGGACGGAATGTACTCCGTGAGAGGCATCGGATCTTCGAGTAACAGTCCCCGTCGTAGCACCAAGTCTAGCCTTTTGACAGCTGGTTCAGTACCTTTGACCGCCAAGATAAAGGACAGCCAACAGACTTTAGGCTCGAGTGCTGTCATTTTACTCCCCGTCTACTAATACTAGTAAGGGGTTGAGTACAAATAAGCTGAGACGGTCTGCCAGAGATGCAGTAAACCCTAGGGCTCCCAACAGCGCATTCCACCCTCGGGCTTTTGTATAATAATATGTGAAGTTGAATGTTTTCTTTAATCAAAATTATTCATCAAGTTTTTACACTTACAAGGTTCTATTTTTCTTAATCTTCCTAGTTATACAAGCGTGACATCGGCCAGGGAACCGCGGTCCGCAACAGACCACGGAATACACCATGTTATAATGAGAAGGATTCGCATCATCCAATACGAAGGTGCCCTGCGTACGCGTGACAACTTTCTCCAAGTCCCGATGCCCCCGCCCCCCCTCGCACAGAAGCGTTTGTACGAATGCAGCAAGCAACTTTGTCCATCTCAGTTGGCTCCCCTGCCAACGCAGTCTGAGGAACAGATTTTGGGGCGACATGGCAGTTGTGAGGAGCTCCTCACCAACCATGGACAAGGGTAGCCTCGAAATCCTCCCAACCCCGCACAAAAATGGGAGACCCTCGGGGCAGACCGGACTGAGACAACTCCCTTCATCCCCATGTGTGTCTATTTATACCACGTAGGCTGTCCTGCCGGAACCAAGGCGTCTGTCCGTCGAACCAGACCAGCTGGTATGCCAAACTCGATACGTAGCCATCGGCCATCAGCAGGGGTTCCCAGAGACGTGACATGCCGCATTCACGTTTTGCTCTTGCTGCATTCCCGTCTACTGCCACGCCTTCATAATAATCCGGCGCTGCCGGCCGCTACTCCATGATGCCTTCGCTCTTGCCATCCTCCGATGTGCCACTCGCAACGGCCTCTTTCACCCTAGAGGCTCGCCTCCGCGCGTCCACGTACATCATAAACTCGGAATACGTCCTCGGCATAACCTTGATATCGGTATTAACGAGAAACGTATAGTTGAACTGCCCGGTAGGTTTAGTCTCTCCATGCTCGACATTTCTCACCTTACTGTCCACGCGGACTTGAACACGCGTCTGACGCGACGCCTCGCCGGACCCTGCATCGTCGGCGCCATGGCTAACCAGCGGCGGATCCGTGTACACCACCGTCGCCGTCAGATACAGCACACTCCCGACGGGCACTGGATTCTGAAACGTCGACGGGTCAAGCGACACAAACCTGGGTCTCGTGTGGGTGAAACTGGCGGCGCAGCAAAACGCCAGCTCAAACGTCTGCTTGAGGAGGAACCCGCCAAAGATCATGAACTGGTGGCGATTTCTATACTGGGGCTGCATGATGGCGGCCGTGTTGAGCCTCGTCGTGTCCATGAAGAAGACGTTGTCGGGCTTGCGCAGCGCGTCGTTGGGATCATGGTACCGCAGCTGCCGCTGCCACATGGCGTGGATGAGGTCGCTCTCCTCGTCGTTGGGCGCCGTCTTCAACAGAGACTGCTGCGAGCGCTGCTTGCGGATCTTGCTGTTCCTCTCGCCGCGCGCAAAGATGCGCTTCTCCTCTTCTGTGTCGGTGCGGACTGGTGCGATCTTGACGGGCCTCTTGGTGGCGGGGTCCGTGGCCACCATGGTGCACTGGCAGGTGATCATGACGTGTTCCTGCTGGACCTCTTGCCCGTCCTTGGGGGCCTTGGCGACCTGGAGGCTGATTTCCATGCTGGAGCCGCCTGCGGCATAGGTGACCTGGCCGCTGAGCTCGAGGTCGCAAATCTCGGTGAGAGGGTGATTGATGGTGATGCGGTCAAAGGCGGCGGTGACGGTGCTGACGCCTTCGCCGGTGTGCTTGTAGGCAATGACGCCGGACAGGGCGTCTAGGTCCATGAAGATGGTGCCTAGGCGGATGTGGCCGGTGGCGTTGAGGTATGTGTCGAGCAGAGACGGCTCTTGGGCGAGAGGAAGGATCTGGCACATTAGAGTCTAGAGTCTGGACATTGGTACGCTCGACGCGGCACTTACGACGCTATGGTAGCTGTCTGCCATTTTCTTTGGCGTCAGATCAGGTTGCGCCGGGGCGGGAGGCTCGCGTTGGCTCTTGTTGGCCGTTTCGTGCTGCTGCTTGCGAAATGCCTCAATCCAGGGCACCTGCATCCTTTGTTCCGTCAATGCCCGAAACACACCGTCTGTTTTGCGATGAGGTGTGTTGCAGAGCTGGCGCCGCTGGACTAGGCGACATGGCGAATGTCTTGCGCGTTGCTGTGCGCGCACGAGGCAGCGCATGGTTGCTGTTTTTGAAGCCATTGATTGCAAGTTGTCATGTGAAGTCTGGCCCGGTCACGCCGGGTGTGGTGATTATGCCGAGTACGGAGTAGATGGACCGTCGACGGTAGCCCCACATGCATTCGGGGTCTGCTTACCCTAGACCTGACATAGGGAATGTCAACTCTAGATGTCCGCCTTTGCGACATCCCATACACAAGTTTTCCAAATATTCGCCAGGTGCCTGCGACAGCAATGCTGTCGTTTTTCTCAAATTCTTTATTACAATAGATGGCCGTGATTTTGGCTTTTGATTGAGCCACATGGCCAACGCGCTCCGCATACTGTGACAATGGAATAATTTGTTGAATTGTGATCTTCTTTCTGTCAGACGGGTTATTGGGTTTGACCATTGAGTTGTTTATTGTGGGTTTCCAAGGCCATTCAGTGTCCCTAATGACCATCTCTGTATTCTGGAGAATTATGCTTGTATCCATACTTGCGATTCATACTCGCCTTCGTAGAGTTAGGTTGAGCAACCCTTCTGCTCAGTCTATTGCCCCAGAGGCGCGGACCAAAAATAGTTGGCCAAAGAGTATTGCATTGGGGTAACTGTAAAACGCAAAATACATATTTGCGTGACCACCCGTACCGGATGAGTATTTCCGCTGGGTCAAACGTTGCAGCACTCTCCAGTTCATCAGGGGCTCGACATCTTGGCTCCATAGAACATCAGACGGTAGGAACCATAAATCCCAGCGGAGCCGTCCGGATCCAATCAACCAGACTTCTATCATAACGAGTAACGCTCTCTTCAACACGTGGATAGTGGTGATGGTACGTATGATTAGCAAAGTCTGCCCAACACATAACATTGTTGAAAGACTGATTGCGCTAGGCTCCAAGAACCCACGACCTCGTGCGTCTTTCAGCTACTCGTCGGGAGAGAATTTATCCAACAACACTCGCGGTGGAGTGTGACAGCCTGCGTCCACGGCATTTACGTCTAGGCCGCCACTTGTTCAACACCAGGGTGCCGCACAATTGTCCGTGTCCGTCTAACGCCAAGACGAAAAGAAAGTGGGAGTAACGGCTCGGAATTACATGTTCAATGACTGGGTGGTGAATTGACCGAC